TTTTGTGTGTTTGGGGCTGGCTAGGGATGATTTGGACTGTGTTGCTGAATTTTATCTTTATGTTTGAGCTGTTACTATAAAGTGGCAACCATAGTTGGAAAATTGATATTGCTGCTAGGATGTGGTTCTGGCTTACTGTGACAAACAGTCCGCTGCTACGGGAAGATCAATATTCTACTACAAGTATTGGGGATATCTGATGTTTACGTTTGCATTTTTATGACTAAAGTTGTTTGGATATACACCAACAATCTTGTTCGTCATGTATCCTGAACAAGACTCACTTGTATAGAACATGATTATTGAATGCTTTTATTTTCCTGGTTACACACAGATATGGTGAAGTCAAAGAGGTTTGGCTAGATGGTGCAAAAGGGGAAGGAGAGAAGGACATGGAGTACTTCTTCAATGATTGGTTTAATGTAATTCATCAACTTCAACCAGGGGCCGTCATATTTTCAGGTGCAGGGCCAGACGCAAGGTGGGTTGGGAATGAGGCTGGATTTTCTGGGACCACTTGCTGGTCTCTCTTTAATCAAAGTAATGCGAAAATTGACGTCACGGCAGATCCTGAGTAAGTCCCACTTTTGGTTTTTTTTTTTAATAAGTTTACTGCACATTTTCGGAAATGCAAATCTACAGGCCAATGGGCACGTTCTTACAGCTTGAAGGTGCATATTGTATAAATGAAAAACTTATCATATATGATGCCTCCTCCCAAGTCCCAATGAATATATTTATATCTAGCCGTTGTAATTTCAAGATAGCTTTTTTTTCCTTTTCCCTTTTATGTTTTAAGGATGGGAGACGATTCTTATTCTAATTGCCTACTTGCATTCGAGGTTGAACCCTGTTCCTGAGCGCTGTAGGACGAGCTTTCTTAAGATGAATCACATGTTATTGTACTAATGTGTTTACTAGATTGTCCGCTGATAACATGTTCTGCATTGTAGTGGCTGTAGAGTTCTGCATTGTAGTGGCAGTAGAAAAGAGCATATTGGTTTGTTTCCTTAACTAAGCTGACACATGACTGCTGTTTATTTTGTTAACTTTCCTTTTCTCATCAGTGCGTAAAGAACACTCCGAGGTGTGAATATCAAAATATTTTTTAAGAACAAGTTTGCTATGCATCACTAACACATTATGCAGTCTGATACATTTGGAGATGGTTCTGATTTAGTTACATTTTGATTACATATTATGCACCTATGTTTTGACGATCTTTGTATTCCTGTATCCCGGGAAGCAGAATAGCCAGGGGAAAAAAAAAAGTTTTAACCTAAAATTTCTTCTAATATTTACAAAGATCCAAGAATTTTTTGTAGTCAACCCAAACCTTGTAATTTCTTATTAATATATTTCGATAATCCCCAATATAATGCTTTGATCTGTGTAGATATTCCGGACAAGGGGACCCGTTAGGCCAGGACTGGATACCCGCCGAATGCGACGTCTCGATCCGCCCTGGATGGTTCTGGCACCCGTGTGAATCCCCAAAGCCTGCACTCACTCTTCTTGATCTCTACTACAAATCCGTGGGGCGAAACTGCCTCCTCCTACTAAATGTGCCCCCAAATTCCTCGGGCCTCATTGCCCAAGAAGACATTCAGGTCCTTCAAGAATTCACCAAAATGCGAACATCCATATTTTCCAACAACCTAGCCAGAGCTGGCCTGGTTTCCGCAAGCAGTACCAGAGGCAGTATAAACGAATCTCTTTACAGCCCAGTTAACATTCTTGATGAAAGTGTGCATTCGTACTGGGCTCCAGCCAGTGGGCCTGCATCATCATCGGGCTGGGCATTGTATCTTGATTTTGATGAGGATGTTGCCTTTAATGTCTTGATGGTGCAAGAGCCGATCCAGATGGGTCAGAGGATTATTGAGTTTCATCTCGATTTCTTGAACGGGGGTGGGGAGTGGGAGGTGGCGGCTAATGGGACCACTGTGGGGTACAAAAGGCTGTTGGTGTTTCCTAGTGTAAATAGTAGGCGATTGAGGTTTTTCGTGGATAAGAGCCGTGCTGAGCCTCTGGTTTCGTATTTTGGTTTGTATATGGACCCATTTTCGGCTTCAGGACAAGTGTTGGGAGGTTTGAGAGGTAATGGCAGTGAACTCGTGCCTCAAATTTCGCACTGGATTTTTAGGAGTTCCTATAAGTAATTTAATTTGGGGATGTGATTTGTATTTATAGTTCATGCATTGCAAGAACAATCTTTATTTATGATTTGTTTGCGTTTAAGGTTTTAATGTGTGACTAAAAGACTATGTTGTTGTTGTTGTTGTTGTTGTAAGGTTTTAATGTGTGCAGATGCTTCTCTCTGGTACAACAGTTGTTTGATATGCCCAACTGTAAGAACACCATAAATTTGTAAGATTGAATAATGCCTCTATGATGTAGAACGTGATACGAAACGGGAATAAAAGTGAGATATTCTCTCACGATGAACAATTTGAGATACTCTCTCAATGAAACATAAATTTTAATCGTCCAAAAAAACTGACTTACATCCTTAGTTTCTCATCTTTAAATAATAAAAGAGTCCTAACCTTGCTATACATCTTGCAAGGTAATTTATTTATTTCCTAAAAATGATAAGAAAGCTGAAAAAGGAATAGATATGCATAATAATAAAAGTAAGAACTAGATCTTGCAAGGTAATTTATTTATTTCCTAAAAGTAAGGTTTTAATGTGTGACTAAAAGGCTATGTTGTTGTTGTAAGGTTTTAATGTGTACACCAACTGTAAGTCTGTAAGAACACCATACATTTGTAAGATTAAATAATGCCTCTATCGCTGGTATGTTTACTATTAGATAAACCTAACCATCTGACTTATATATATATATATATGTATATATCAATAATGCTATAGAGCCAACTGCCTACATGGCATGCCTAGATGGCAATTTAAATAAATCTTATTTTATATTTTACGTTTTTAATCTTATTTCTTCAAACTGAAAACACTTAGAACTCCTCAAACTCTCACGAAGAAAAGCCCGCAGAACTCTGACGGCTACGAAGAAAAACTCACCATCGGAAAAGCCCGCAGAACTCTGACTGCTACGAAATCGACGACCATTGACTGAATGTACGCCATATCGGCTGGGAGGGATAGCCATGGTTGCAACCCAATCATCCCCTTCTCGTGATGATAAAGGCAGTCACGTTCCCACTGGCCTAGCCAACCCCGTCGTGACGACAGTCGTCTCCACCACTGCTCACCCGATAGGATTTCGACCTTCATCAGCGTGTACGGGGACAGGTGGTACTCCATCCGCTGCAGCACTATTCGATTTTGAAGACTCGCAAGTGGCTCCGGCAATTTACACAGGGATGGAGACCGAACAAGTTGATAACGAATTCATTCCTCAAGTTGATTCGACTGTTGTTCCTAAAATCGGTCTGGAATTCCATTCAGATGAAAAGGCTCATATTTTCTATAATATGTATGCTAAAGATACTGGGTTTAGCATTAAAATTCGGAACGACAAAAAGAATAAAGCTGATGGCATGTTTGTTTGGAGGGATTTTACTTGCTCGAAAGAAGGTAAGACAAATGAGTCCTACCGAAAGAATAAACATGTAGTAGCAGAAATTAGTGAACGAAGAAGAGGGGAAACCAGATGTAATTGTCCGGCACGAATGAGTGTTCGAAAAAACAATGAAGTTTGGGTAGTGAAGGATTTTGAAGAGAAACATAATCATCCTCTTGCAACTCCTAAAAAGATTCATCTACTTAGATCTCATCGAGTTGTGTCGGCTGCAAAACGCGTGCTTGTTCAGTAGTATGATGAAGCAAATAATCGAACATCCCAACAAGTTAGATTACTTGAAATTACTTCTGGTGGTCCTTCTATGATGGGATGTCTGGAGAAGGATATTAGGAATGAAGAAACGACACGTAAAGCAGAATTAAATGGACGTGATGCACTTACCTTGATTCACCAATTCGAAATGGAAAAAGAGAGGAATGAGAATTTCTATTATGTTTATGAGACAGATTATGATGGTGTTTTTTTAAGGTTCTTCTGGTCCGATAATGCATCAAAAAGTTCATATGCATTGTTTGGTAGTGCAGTTGTATTCGACACCACTTATAACACAAATAATTACGGAATGGTGTTTGCGCCATTTGTTAGTGTCAACCATCATAGGCAGACCACTGTATTTGGTTGTGGATTACTCAATGATGAGAAAACGGAGTCTTTTGTTTGTTTATTTTCCAAATTTTTAGATGCAATGATAAACCAACCGCATCCAGAAGTTATTATTGTTTGTCCCATTTTTGTTGCATTTTTCGTGATTATTTTTCCTTTCTTTTTCCCTCATATTAGGTCTTTTAGTTGGTTTTAGTTCGTTATGTATTTTATTTCGTGTTTTCCTCTATTTATAGACTTTATGTGCTGTCTCGGCTATTTTTTCGGTTTTCTCTGTTAACTGTTATATTATAGGCCCACAGCCCATATGTCCTAAGTCTATATATATGGGGCCTCCTCTTGTGAATATATTATTGTCCAAAACCCTAAGGTTTGTAACATGGTATCACAGCCTTACACATGAATATCTTTTTTCGATCTCACCCCCACACCATTAAAATCGCCGCCCCGAGAACGACCGTCCGGCAAAGTCTCGCCGTCAGAAGCCGCGCGTGTGAGTCACACGCACCGCTGGGACAGTCTGCTGTCAATCCCACGCGCCGGCGCGTGAGGGCGCGTGGCTGGCCGGAATTCTTTCGGGCGACCATCCTTGAACTCGGAATTCTGTGCTCTTGCTGCCAGTGTCCTTTGTTTTCTGTTTCGGGAGGTTTTGGTGTTCGTTTTGTGCATTTTCAGATCTGTCACTCTTCGGGGTTAGGGTTTTTGTACTCTAATCTGTGCCGGCCATCGTCAATTTCTGTTTTTTTGTTGTCACTCGCCTACTGTGTGCCCCAACGCTGCCCGTCGCAGCACTTTCATTCACACTTCGTCGAGGCTTGTTACTACGTGTTTGTTCATATGTTGATTACGGGAGATGATGAAGAGCATATTTCCCATGTCAAGAAGCAGCTTGGTCAACAATTTCAGATGTCTGATTTGGGTCCCCTTAGCTACTTTTTGGGCATTGAGGTGATGCATTCTGCTTCGGGCTATTACCTTTCTCAGTCCAAATACATACAAGACCTTCTTGTTCGTTCCGGTATTACTGATAATCGGACAGCGGTTACACCTATGGCTCTTCACTTACAGCTTCGTCCTACTGATGGTACCCCTCTTGAGGATCCCTCTCGCTATCGCCATATTGTCGGCAGTCTTGTTTATCTTACTGTTACCAGGCCTGATATTGCTCACGCAGTTCATATATTGAGTCAGTTCGTGAGTGCTCCTACTTCAGTTCATTTTGGGCATTTGCTTCGCGTGTTACGATACTTAAGGGGGACATCATCTCAGTGTTTATTTTATGCTCGTGATAGTCCGCTTCAGCTTCATGCTTACTCGGATTCTACTTGGGCGAGTAATCCAACCGATCGTCGTTCTATCACTGGTTATTGCATTTTTCTTGGTTCTTCTCCCCTTACATGGAAGTCCAAAAACCAGGCAGCTGTATCTCGAGCTAGTACAGAGACCGAACTTCGAGCACTTGCTATTACCACTTCAGAAATTATATGGCTTCGATGGTTGTTAGCCGATTTTGGTATTCCATGTGATGATCCTACTCCTCTTCTTTGTGATAATACTGGAGCAATTCAAATTGCCAATGATCCAGTAAAACATGAACTTACAAAACACATTGGTGTTGATGCTTCTTTTACTCGATCTCACTGTCATCAGAAAACAATCGTTCTTCAGTATGTGCCGTCAGAACTGCAAGTGGCTGATTTTTTCACCAAAGCACAAACTAGAGAGCAGCATCGGCTTCACTTGCTCAAAATCAATGCTTCGGATCCTCCACCTCCACCTTGAGTTTGAAGGGGGGTTAACTGTTATATTATAGGCCCACAGCCCATATGTCCTAAGTCTATATGTATGGGGCCTCCTCTTGTGAATAGATTATTGTCCAAAACCCTAAGGTTTATAACATTCTCCATTTTTCTTCGTTTATGGTGTGTAGGTCGAAAGATTCGAGAGGATTTATTTTCCACGATAAATGGTCCAAGATAATATCACTAGAAAAAGCATTTTGTCGGCGTCGCACAGGAAAAGGCGGGATCAAATTCCATTTCCAAATGAGTGTAAACGAGCCCGAAATGCGAAGTTGTGCGACAAGACCACCAGCTTTCCGAGGCCCCGGGCCACGTCAGCCAGTCTCTCACATGCTCGTCGTGCCGCGCCGGTGCCTGGACTTGGACAGAGCAGCAGACTCCCAGTGTCGCGCCGCGTCAGCCATCCTCCTCCACGTCGTGCTTCACCACCGTGCCGCGGAGCAAGACCTCACCACGTCGTGTTGCAGTTACGCGCCATGCCAAATGCTTCTCCCGCACCGCGAAGCCCTCCACCACGCCGCGGCATAATGCACGCCATTCATCACGAGCGAACAGACCACTAGTTCCAGCTGCCACGCCGTGCTACCTCTCACACTGCGGCAGGCCTTCTCCTCGCTCGCGGCAAGACTCTCACGCGTGGCATGACACCAGCTCGCGCCACGGCAAGACCCTCACGTCGTGGCCACCTGCTCTTATATAAATATGCATCGGGCTCTTCAGATAAGGACTTCTCTCGACCGCGGGTGAAAACCCTAGGTCCGAGAACTCTACAAAAACTCTTTTTCTCCTCCCTCCCTCTCTTCTTTTTCTTCTTCGTTTTTTCTCTTCTTCTCACCTTTTTCTTCCATTTTTTCTTCTTCTTCTTAGGAACATCTAGGGAATAAGCTTGTATCTTGGATTCGACATTTGAATTGAGATTAATCGTAAGAATTTCATTCTCTTATTTAATTCATGAATAATGATTAATTTGAGAAGAAAGATTATGTGTGTTGAATTCATGTTACATAGCTAATTTCTATCGCTAGCGATAGGAGAATGATTATTCTAGTTTGATTCGTATCTCTCGAGCTTTGGATTGTTCGTTCTTGTGTGGGTTGATTTGATTCAGAATTGTTGAATTCTTGTTCGATAGATTGATATAATCGAAAAGTGACATTTCAATCTTGCTATTGGTGACAATTAGATGTTAATTTGTCGAGTTAGGGTTTGTCGATTCTATATGGTTAGTTGATTAATACACTTCTAATTAATTAGCGACTTTTAGAACCGAAAGGGGAGAAGTCGTAGACTTAGTCTCGCATGAGGTAGACGATTTCGTAACTGAATAGTCTATAGGTTTTGGGTTGAAATACGCGCTTGTCGATGACCCGTCTCTTGTTACGAAAAGTTATTGGGATTGGGATAATTGGCCTGTGTCGTATGCTCGAGTTTGTTTGTCTATGTTCAATCCCTTGTTACGAAGAGTTATTGGGAGCGAACCGCTAGATGTTTAAGCGAGAGCGTCAATCTATAATAGAATGATTCATGTACCGGTGTGCGAGTAGAACTTGAATTAATTATCCTCGATTCCCTAGCTTCTCCATCTTTGTTCCGTTAACATTTTTAGGTAGATCATTGCTTTTTATTAATTCTTAGTTAGTAATTATTCAAATCCTTTATCTGATTAGAGTGTTTAGAATTTATTTTCTTTTTGTGTGTGATTGATACCAAAGCTGAATTCTGAACCGCCTTCCTCGAGAGATCGACCCGGGGAACGAATCTTTCGATTCTGTACTGGGTAAAAATAACAATTTGTACACAACAATTATCACTGACCAAAATGCTGCTATATTAGTTGCCGTGGCTAAGGTATTCCCAAATACTCTACATCGATATTGTATTTGGCATATCTTAAACAAATTTTCCGAAAAGCTTGGTCCTGTTCTTTATAATTTACACCACCGTACTTTATTTTAGATTACTAAAGACTCTGAGACTCCTAATGAGTATGAGTCTATGTGGAATTTGTTGATGAGCGCTTCTCAATTGAGCAATAATGAGTGGTTGTCAAAGATGTATGATATCCGTCATCGTTGGGTTCTTGCATATATGAAGGGTGTTTTTTTTT